ATCGGCAGATTGTCAAAATCAAATGATCGGAATCGGATCGGGAGCAAAAAAAGGTGATCGGGACATCCCTAGTTATAATGGGTGTGTTTGCAGATTAGTGCCATTTATAATATGCAAATGAGCTATTAGTATTTCCTTTCTGCAGTGTATCTAACGGATGTACAGACAACCATCTCTGGAATACTTTTTAGTGAAGAAAACCTTAAAGAAATTGTAGTTCTTGAGTTACAAATAGCGCTATTTCTCACGGTCTCTGACAAGATTTCTACCTCAATATCTGCAAGGACGTGAGAGATGACCATGTCCTCAGAATGCGTAGGTCACACTGAAAGTATTTGTACAATGTGAAGCATGTCTGTCTCACGTATTGCCATACAGTGGCTGCAGGGTGAAGGACATGCAACACAAGGTTGTCTTGAATGACTAATAATAACACATCGTTGCCATGTTAGGAACCTGCATGTAAAGCTTAAAGCATGCAGCAGCTACAAGTGTACTCACGGTACTCTGAGACACTTAGGAGAAAAGCTTGCAACACGACTATTCTGTCATCCTTTGTCTAGAGGAAGCACCTGCAGTGAGATTTACACACCTCATAATTGCACGAGACGTTGAACAAAGTCCTACAGGAGACACCAATTGCTTTTTTTAATTGTACAACATCGTGCACGCGTTCCCATCTGCCGCTTGATTTAATTATCTGCCTCTAGTGTGTGTGTGTGTGTGTGTGTGCGTGTGCGTGCGTGCGTGTGTGTGTGACAGCTTGTAGCCTGTAGGCATTTCTCTTCATCCCATATCAGGGCTGTTTGATTTCCCACAGTGCCTTGCTGTCACGGCTAGCAGGTATTTTGCTAGACACACTGTTTATTCAACAGTCCAGTTTTCCGTATTACGTGTCCATCTGTTTGAGTTGTGGACCCTGGTGTGGAGGAGCTGACCTCTGACGCCTTGCCACAGGGTTAAGCCGTTTAACCTAATCCGAACCAGAGGATCTTATTGGCTGACAGTCGAGGAAGGAGGAAGCCTCTCCCAGCCGTCCTGCTGTTCAGTGATACTCCGTTTCTCTCGAGGGGAAGTTCTAGTGTTTACGCTAGGGGCGTTATTTTTATTTGTTTTAAATGAAGGACAGCTACTTAAAAAAGCTAAGGCACTATATGAAAGGTTTTGCGTGAAATGACAGCCATAAAAACATGTTCCTTTTCTAAATAGTCAGTCGAATAAAGCTGGAGGACAATGACCGTAACATAACACGACTAAACCAGATTTTGAATGGACTACTTTGCATGCTCCTTTTAGAAAATAGCCAATGTGTTTAGGCTATTAAACATAGCAGCGACTCAATTATTTTTCCGCCTTGGGGAACCACTCCTCAACTAAATGGTCTGGGAATAGGACAGAATGGTATCCTAAAAACTCTACAAAAAGACAATTTTTGGATCTAAACGTTAAGCTTCCCTCCTTAGGAATGATTTCCGTAGGTCATGCTGGATGTTGCTGTAAATCACGCTGGGCCTTCTGTGGATTTTTGGCCTTTTGACCTGCTTTCGAGCAGCAGGACACAGCGTACCCTCTGGTGGGAAACCTTCAGAGTTTCATCATAAGGAAAACCATGAACATACAAAACACTGTACAGATTTACAGCTCAAATGACGGCTTTCACACAGGAGTTGAGTGAAGGTTCAGGTGGTTCCCTGGAGCTCTCTCAGCGGGGTGAAGCTATCTCTTTCATTTCCTTTCTCTTGGTCACATAACCTTGAATTTAGCACTTTTTTTTAGTACCAAATCGATGGATTCCTGGACAGTTTTCCGGCCATTACTGCTAGACTGTGAGTTAAATAAAACACCCGGTAATGATATAAGTTTAGTTATAACTCTAAAGCCAGACAAAGACCCTTACTGGAATCAAAAGCAGGGACTAAAGTAGAAACTGAGCAGCTTCGAGGTGTTTTTTGTTCCCCCCCCCCCTGTGGAGATTTCTTATCATCAGTCTCACCCATCTGGTTTCTGTCCATGTTGACATTAGTGCACGACTACAGAGAAGTGCCCTCCAAAAACTCCCCTTCCTTCATGCCAGTGTCATGCATGTCTTTTTGAAAATCACAATTGTGCAGAAAACCGGCGAGAAATCTTGATTTTAAAATCTCGTTGCTCGAGGATTTTTTGCAGTGGACGACTTTGGAACGCATCAAAGTATGAACACGGGGGGGTGGGATTTTATTTCATTGGTCATTTGCATCAGTGGGACTCTGAGTAAACCCTCAGCACACCAGGGCAGATGGTGAGAACATTGAACCTGGCTGTAGTTTGCAGGGAAAGAGTGGAGTGAGGAATAAGGAAGGGAAATAGTGCAGGATAAACAAAAGGATGAATGGATAAAATATGTTCTTGTTTTGGCCGAATAGGAGGTACTGGTGTGACTGTTTTCCTAACATAGAGCCCTCTTACTTTAATTGATGCATTTTCATTAGCCATTCATCTGTAACATAAAGGAAGCTTGGACGACAGCAGAGAATGAAGAGCAAAGAGAGAAAGTGAAGTGATATATATGTGTCGGTTTTCTCAGCCTCAAGAGGACTGGATCGTAGAAAAGAGAGCAATTACTTTGATTTACAACATCCAAGTTTAGCCAAGAACTAACGTTGTAGCAGGATGTTGGATTAAAAGGAGGACAGGAAGTGTGTTTTGCTAAGGAGAAAAAGATGTGAGGAAAGAGACATATTCCACATCCCGCATATTATGTTCAAACTGTCATGTTTTTAGCGCCTTTCGTTGGTGCAGGTTGTACTTATTGGTATCTAATAGGGATGCCAGCGATTATTCGATTTTAAGAATATTCGTTAGTCTCCATCATCGAAAATAATTTTTTTTAAATTCGATTTTATTATATATTTTTTTATTATTATTTATGTTTCCTTTTTTTTCCTGGCTTAGTTTCATCCAAAATATAGACTAATGCTAATAACAGTAATAGCATTAATAATTGTAAATGGCCATTGGTCACATCACCAGTTTGTTTTACTGTAAACTTGGAGGAAGCCAGCAGAGTGCACAGAGGGCGCCCCCCCCCCCCCTCTCCGTCACACGTGCGATTGATTTATTGGCGATATACAGAACAGTGAGAACAACACAACTAAAGATGAACAAAGCGGTACGTTAAAAGAGGAGTTCCTCGTGGAACTACTTCAAACTGAAAAGTGCAAATGAAGAAAAAATGTTGTGTCGCTACAAAA